TCCGTTATCCGGAATTTCAATAATTCTTTATAGGAAGCGGCAACAAGGTAAAAACATATCGATTATTGTCTGGAAGGTTATACATTGGCCAATCAGATTTTAGGCTTCATTATGACGATGCCTAAAAATAATTGTGGCGCGCGTTTCAAATTTGTTTGATTTTTTTTAATTATAAAAAATTCTTGTAGGAAAATTTGAAAAGAGAAAAATTTCAAAAAAATATTTTTAGATTAGATTTTGTGCTAGCTTTTAGAAAAAAATATTTTTGAATTTTACTAAACACGCCCATTGAAACAAGTTCAATTTCCCAGAAAGAATGGTCAATTATTTCCTTAAAAATTTCTGAATTATATAGAGAATTTAAATTTATGATAGACACCGGAGCCGATATAACTTGTATACATGTATCTTTACTAGATGTAAATGTTATGCTTACATAGCACTAACAGAGTGGTGACCCTTCAGGCAAGAGATTAAATATTGTAGGTATTTTGCATGGTACAATAAGTAACTCTAAAAATAAATGTTTTACTGACATCTATGTCATTGAAGAATTATGTAAACCAATCTTAGGTCGTTCTGCAATAATTGATTTAAATATCTTGCAATTTGGTGATGGAGTTTCTTCACAAGGATTTGATGTAAGACGTGGCAACCCGGGGATTGCGGTCCTGCAGAGAGTAAGGTTAGGTTGTTGTACCGGAAGATACTGAGGAGCTAGAGATAAGTTTGTACACCTAGTTAAGATTGAGAGTTAAGTGTATTAATAAACTCCTAATCAATCGATATACTATTACCAAAAGAACCCAACATAACAACATCCACAATTTCAATATCTCTAATACTGGCCTAAAATAAAATGAGTCACACGGTGTTTTTTTTATGAGAAATGGATATATCCAGGTAAGTAAAAAACTCACAATCTTAATAAAATATATTTTTAAATATAACATGAATAAAAAACAATTATGTATCTATAAAATACTTACTAATAAAATGTTAAAAGTATAAGTTGCACCATTTAAAAATAAAAAAATTACAATAAAAAGTAATCCGATAAAATATTTTAAATGGTGCATCACAAATAAGTGTTAAAATACCTACTGGTCCTGTCAAGTAACCTTTGGTACGATAAAATACACTTTAAAATTATTAAAAATATAAATATGTTAAAACACATTAAGACCGAAAATGATAAGTGTCTCCAGAAACTTGACAACACTTATAAAATACTTTTTTTATTTAAAAAAAAAACATATGGCCCAAAAAATAAGGCCACGTTTGATTATATTGAAAAAGGCTGCTCAATAATCACACATTTACATAATATATACAAATTTGTATAAAAAGCACAATCATTTTGTACTAAGTAATTTAGTTGCCATAATTGTAAAATAAATAACATTATCACTTCTTTTTTTTTGTCAAAATATCCATTATCAAGCCAGCAGGCCTGCTGCTTAAATGTCGTAATGTGGCAACACTGCAGTTGTTACACATACAAACAAGTCAACATGGTAATTTGAAGGTCAAATAATGCAAAAAATATCTTAATTGTTTGAAGGGATGGATATTGGATTACGATTATATCGAGTATCGATTATTTTCAATTAATTTTCGTCTAATCGACTATTTTGAATCGATTTATTATTTACAATCAATTAATTATTTTCGATGATTCGACTATTTTCGGTTAATCGAATATTTTCGAATAATCGATATTTCTTTATTAATCGATTATTTTTATTTAATCGAATATTTTCTAATAGATTAATCGATATGTTTCTATTAATCGATACTTTTCGATTAATTGATTGTTTTTAGTTAATCAATTATTTTCCTTAAAGGCGATTATTCGATTAAAATAATTTAAATAATCGATTGACTACAATAATTATCTTTAAAATATTAAAATTAATCGATTAATCAAAAATAATCGATAATTCGAAAATAATTAATTAATTGAAAATAATTGATTAATCGAAAGTAGTTTATTAATAGCATAATAATCGATTATTTCTATTAAAAAAAGGTAAACCAAAAACAACTGATCTATTATTTTTCTCACCCCAATTGGGACCACAAAAGGAAAAACGTTATTTTAAAGTCAAAATTTTGAGAAAATTAAATCAAAAATTTTACTCTTCTGCTTCGAAATTGTCAATTTTTCGTTTTGACAGGTTAAAACGACAAAATCGATATTTCAGAAACAAAAGAGGATGATTGAAATATGTTTTCATATTTGGGTGAGCGGAAAAATGATCGAATGTCAAAAGGTCGAAGGAAAAAATTATCGAATCGAATTGATCGAAATTATAAATAATCGAAAGTACAAATGATTAAAAATATAATTGCTAGAAATTAAAAATAGTCGAAAATGCAATTGATTGAAAGTTATTCGTACTTTAAAAAGATGAAAAGGTACGAAAGAAAAAACAACTTAATTAATTTACCTAACCTGCGCGGCCTGGAGCCATTTAACATTTACTGATTAGGTAATTTTGTTAATTTTTTTTAAATCATTTTATGCAAACAGTTTTTCCTCAATAACCTGCGATAGCTCCAGGCCGCAAGGGTTAGGTACATTAGTAAAAATAGCGTTGTTTAAATCATCAGGCCCTAGTTTACTGGACCGCTATTTCGGTATTCAGCGTTATTTTAATAAACTAATTTATTAATTTCATAATTTGATGCTTTCTCGATCTTATATCATTTTGATTATTAGTAATTTTAATCATTTTGATCTTTTTCATTTCGATCGTTTGTCCCTTTCGATCATTTTTTTCTCTTCTCAATAATATATATTTTCTAATTATAATTCATTATAATTCATCGATACCCTTTTTTGGAAACCATTAAAGATAGTTTAACATCATAACCTCACAATTAAATGACGATATGACAGGAAATGACAATCGACATATCTATAAATTGCTAAAACCGTAGAAACGTAAATGAGTTATTTAGTGTTAAACAGATTATTTCTTGTTTTAAGTAAAATGCAATAAAATTGTCGTGTAAATTTGAGATTAAAATATTTAAAAGTGGAACGTTGCTATATAAAGAAGTTTTATTAAGTGACGTCACCACCCTGCACACTATTTTATATTTTTCTTCTACACTTAAAAGCGACCAAAACTATTTTTTTAAATTGGTAGGCACACTTTCTTCTTTTTAAATTTAATTTATATTGAAACGACATTTAAATGTTTAACAACAGGCAAATCATTAGCATTTGTAGCTCGTGTTAAATTTATTTTCAAATTCACTTAATATTTTCTCAATATTTTAATTTTTTACCAAAAATTTTGACTTTTATAAAATAGTTTTATATGTACGACCAAATCTCCCTCATAAAAACCTACATTTGCCTTTTATCACGAAATTTTAGCAGCAATTGGATCAAGCTATCAATATTTTTCTTTACACGTCATGACATTGCGTAACACGCAGTTGGTGACATTGTAAAATATAAAGTTGGCAACGAAAAGTACAAAAATCGATGAGCATATCGAAATTAGTCGAATATACGGACATTAGAGAAAAGTATCGAGAATTAAAATTAATGACTTGATCCAGGGATTACGCAAACTAACCAGCTTGTATAAGAAAGGGCCGAATTTTTCGAGGAAGTGCAAATTTTTTGTTGTTAATTAAATTTGTCACATGTTTAGTTATTAAAAACGAAAAACAGTCCATTCTAGAACGCAGAAACGTCACTGACGTCATACGTCAGATGTGTCATTAAAAAAAGAAGCGTCCAAGGTGTCAGCAGTGCCAACTTCAATACGTTTTTCTGACAGGAATGACAGCTTACTAATTTAAAACGATACATTTTCAAACGGTCTTTTATATTAATATTCTATTAATTTCTCAAAATATGTTTGTATCACTTCAAATAAATAAGTATCAAAATGATTATATTTTTCTGGAGTGGTAACAACATACTTTTAAATAATAGTAAATTATATTTATACAAAACTCCTTTTCAAAAAGTATTGTCTTAAATGATGGATTTTATCTGTCATTCTTGTCAAAAAAACGTATTAAAGTTGGCATCACTGACTCAACTATTGCGTAATAAATTTTAAGAACCCTTTTAATATTTAAATGAACGCTTCAAACGATGTTCGTAATGCGGTTAAAGTGTCCTTTAAAGGTTAAAAGTACTTTTAAATTAATCATGACATTTAAACTGATAAATGCTGAATGAGTAAGCAACCAAAACGGGATAGTCCGCCATTTTGTATCACTATCAGCCAGAGATAGAGAAATATCCATAGTCTGACTACGAACTATCGATAATAATTATCGATATTGAAAAGGTACATAAAAAGATGGTCAGCAACTTTAAAACTGAGATCCAAATGCCCATAATTTCTCTGTAAATCCCAAATCCAAAATGCTCGATGAATAAGCATACAGTAAAAAGCAGGGTTGCCAATGTTGAAAGTTTTGTTCGTGAGTTTATCTACACAAATTAATTAATCGATTTTAGGTTAATCTAATTAAAAAATCGATAATAATCGATTTATCGAGAATAATAATCTATTAGTGAAGATATCGATTAAACGTAAACAATCGATTCATCTAAAATAATCGAACATTTACTCGCCAAAGAAAAGTGATTTTTGAAAATTTATTACTTGATAATATGTATTAGAAATTCTAATTGAAACGTTGATTTTGTTTAATCGATTATTTTCGATTAATCGTTTATTTTTCGATTGATTTGTTATACTATCTTTTTGATTGATGGATTATTTTCGATTAATCGATTTTTCTAATTAAAAAAATGAAAATAATCGATTAATCAAAAACAATCGATTAATTTAAAATAATCGATTAATTTAAAATAATCGATTAATCAAAAATATCGATTAATAGAAAATAACTGATTAAACGTAAATAATCGAAAATAATCGAATATAATCGAGAATTATCGAAAATAATCGATGAATCGAAAATAGTCGAATATAATCGATTATTTTAAATAATCGCCCAGCCTTAAAATCATAATCAGTCTGATCAGTTTGAAAAAAATACTATCGATACTCAAAATAATCGATTGTTATCGATAGTTCTCGACTCCTGCCATCAGTCATCATTGACATCTCCCGTCGCAAAATTCGGCCCTATCATGTCAAATCGACAAACCTCGTTACTTATTTTTTAATGAAAGATCGTACTTTATTGACGCACCTGTCCATGAAATTCCTCTTCCGTTTGGAATCGCTCGAATTACTGTAAATCGAACTTTTGTCGTTATCACTATCCGCGGCGTCCAGAAAATTGTCCACTTTATTACTTAAACTATTAGGGTCAGTCTCTTTGTCGCTGCTGTCGCTCGAGTCTCTGTCGATGTTGTCGCAACTCTTGGACGGAACTTGGTCGTGTATTGTCGCTTCTGAAACGGCCGCGATCGGCTCTGTCGAGTCCAGCAGGCCGTCGAGGCTGCGAGATCTGTTCGGGGGCAAGGGGGGATAGCTGTTGAGCGCCAACGATGAGACGGGCGTGTTGGAGCCCCTGCGGGGGTACGGCGGTCGGCCGCCGGTGAATTTGTTGGAATTGATGATCCAGTTCCTGGACGGACTATTCGCCTTGCAGAATCTAAAATGGGGATAAAAGATTTACATAACTTCTAAATAATTTAGTAGAGACATCATAAGTTTACCAGTTTTGCCATAAATTATTTTACGAACCCAGCGAACCCTTTAAAACACTTACGGATTGTGTTGGAAATACATCCAACATATTATATTAATACATCAGGCTAGCCCAGCCCTAAACTAATAAGAATCCAATTAACAACTCAAGAACAAAAAATAACCGCCGCTCCTGTTCTGTCGAATTAACTGCAAGTTTAATAAAACCATGTAGGTTATGTCATGCATCTTTCTTTATCTCTTTATGGTTGATATCCAAGAAACTACATGGAATAATACACTATTAATACAAAGAAAAACCATAGATGTTAATTACACCAAAGAAATAAGCGATTTATTACCAAACAAAAGAGAGATTCGAAAGAAAAGACAAAGAATGAGAACTGAAGAGAACAAAAACAAAGTAAAGAGACTTGTATAACTACGAAGAGAGATAGAAAAAATCCAAAATGAGTTAGCCAAAAAATACCTGAAGGAGCTTGCAGTTGACCAAATCGCTGATTACTCATTATGGAAAGCTGTCAAAAAAAAACAATCCAACAAATTATTGCAGCCATAAATAATTTTACCACTAAGAGTTGCGCAGTGACCCTTTAAAATACTTTGTTTTGTTGGAAATATATCCAATATATTATATTATTGCATCAGGCTAGCCCAGGCCTAGATGCCAAACCAATTAATGAAAGTTACGAAGAGAAATAAAACAAAAATAAAATGAGTTACCCAAAAAATATCTGATAGAACTCACAGATGACCAAATCACTCATTATTGAGTCAAAAAAATAAACAAATACCCCCAATAGCAACATAAAATGAAATGTTGGCAAGAAGTTCCAAACAAAGAAGTTGATTATTTCGCTAACTATTTTGAACGACCCTTTCACCAGAATACAGGAAAAGGTGAAGAAATTAAAATAGATAACCAAAAGGAAGTTAGTGAAAATGTGCAGATAAATTGGCACTGTTAGAGTCAAAAATTCAGTAAAGTTTATTGGCTCTAATGAATGTGGACCAATTGCTGCAGGAACACAAGCTAGAACTAGACTAGAAAAGTCTGAGGCGGACATTATTAAAGGGCATGGCTGGAAGAAAGTTAGACAGCTAGTAAAGTTTGAAGTATAAGAGCATGAAATAACACTTAAAAAATGCAGTTAAATATTTGGGTATATGGATTAAATTTCGGAGACATATTGAGGAAGCAACAGAGAAAGCAGAGAAGTCTTGTGTTGTTATATAGAGCACTAATATGAGTGGGAGCAGTGCAAGTAAAGGTTCACAAAGCAAAGATGAAAAAGTGCAGGGATGAATGATAGTTGGATATGGATATTATGCTCCAATCAGCAGAAGTTCCAGCAAAAATTGTTCCTATCCATATTCTGACAAAAGAGGGAGATAAATATTGCATAAACAAGAGGCAGAAATTAATGAAATAAACAAGGGAATGGGAAGAGCAAACGGACAAGGCAGTGTGGATAAACAAAGCTTATACCAGATTTTAAAAGATGGTACAATTATAATAACAATTCATATCTTTTACCAAAAAGATAGGAAAGACTGCCCATGACCTCTGTAAATACTGCGGACAAAAAGATACACCAGAGCTCACGTTTTTCTGGAGTATAAGGCATGAATTACTTCGAAATGAAATGCATGCAAAATTAGAGGAGATACAACCATCAATAATATACTGCAGACCATAACAAGATGCAAGAGACATCACGGAATATTGTGGCCGACACCATCAAAACCATTATGAAAATAAACAAAGGAAAACGAGCAGTGCAGCGACAAAATTAAAGGCTGAATATATATGCCCTAGAAGGCGGTTCCGAAAAGTAGGAGCTGAAAGGAAAAGAGGTGGTTTTTAGCTGCTATGCTTCCAGAAAGGGGACGCGAATACCTGACGGGGCTTCTACGGGCGCCATCAGTTTCCGCGCAGTACTTACTGGAAACACGGCTTAGTCATGTCTTGGACGCATCATATTCTTACCTAGGCAGAGGTGTGGGCGTGCCCGAGACGTAGGGGCCATCTAGTCAATCTCTCGTTAGGCCAGCGTTGCCGTTCACGTCCTTATCCGAACTCTTCCCGCTGCCGGAGTCGTTGCTGTGCATGCGCTGGTAGTTGGGCGGCTGCCTAACCATTCCTGGATTCGAGGGGGTGCCGGGAGTGATGTCGCCTTTCGTCAGACCTACTCGCATCATGCCGTCGCCCATTCGTGGATTCATTTCGCCGCGCATGAACCTGAAAGAAACATCAATGTCAATTAGACAGGAAAGAACATTTCGAATAACAGAGGCAGTTTTATTTGTCCGAAGTGGGGATGCGATGTGGTTAATTTTCAATTGCTATCGCTTATTGTAACTGAGGGATTGTGCAAATTTTACCCTACTGCAGACAAATTTGGCTGCTGTGTCTGTAACTACAGTATAAGCAAAATAAATACGTTTTTATGACTGGCTGGTTTAAGCTAAGGTTCGTTAGAACAGTGCGCGATGCTAAACTAACAGTCTGTTGAGCTGAAATCGAACATTGGGCGCGTTCAGCCGACGCAACAGTTGAGTATGGTGACTTGCTGGGTCTTCTGAACGTCACTTGTTGAGTTTTGATTAGTTTAAACCGTTGCTCAACATCAGCACCAGGAAAATTCTATGGTGACTTTTGTAAACAAAGTATTGTACTCAGTGTTGCAAACTAAAGGAACTATATGTGATTATAACCGCACATTTTCTAACCCTGAACATGAATTTTGTTGTTTTTTAAATTCTAAAGTTAAACCATGATGAAAAATAACCGTCATGACTGATTAGGATTTATATTTTTACGTGATCTTAATTTGTAACCGAAAATGATTTTATTTATGTAACCAGTAGAGGTCACAACGTGTATGTGTATTGTCTAACCGCTGAACCAACTTATACCGTTCAGTTACTTTTAATTGTTGACTTCCACCATATCAGAAACATGTTTTCGGTTTTAATCAACTGTAGCGTCGGCCCAATGATAATATTTTGGGAATGAGGTAATGAGGTTAGGATAATTTGTTTTATAACTAAAGTGATAAAATGTCGAAATATTCATCTTGATATGGTAAAAGAGCATCCCGAACTTTTTCGAGTGAAAACCAGAAGTTGCAAAGACAATATACTACTTAAAAACTAACAATTCTTCTTCGTCTTCATGGGAACTTATTTTCACCTGCATGTATCATTAGAACAGGTTGAACGGATTTATATTCTAGCAAACACTGTCACTTAAATTGACGTGAGTCGAACGCGACAGATTCTGTCGTACGCGTACGTGGAGCGTCGCGCACTGTCCTAACAAACCGTAGCTTTAGTTGTATTATTCTCTTTCTTCTTCGTTAATGAAAAATTGTAGACATGCTGTCATTCTTGTCAGAAAAAACGATTTATATTGGCAACACTGTATTAATATTAGCATTGTCGGTTTAATAGGTACACAAAAATTACTTGAATGTGTATACAATAAAAAAATAAAGAAAAATAATAAAAAGCGACAAAATTTCAACACTCACCTCAACCGTATTCAGTGAGGCATGCAAAAAATTGACTCATTTTAAGTTTTGCCAACTGTTGTTCTTTGGTTGGTGTCGCTATTTACGTAGCGTTGAAATTTATGTGCAGATTGTAGACATATCTCTTACACAATTGTTATCTGCGTTTGTACAGGATTAACATCTAATTTGCTTATTATTTGATTATACGGTGTTTGTTGAATATATGTACAGTATTTTAGTATCTTCTTGATAAATTTTTTCTGATATTTCTAACGAGAAAAATTATCTTATTAGTTAATGAGTTTAAAAAGTAAGCTACCACTGCTACCAGTTAACGACAGAAGTTTGGGTTAAATTATACAGGGTATTTCATTTGGAATTACGCATAACTCAAGGGTAGATATAATCAAGATTGATAGACTAAGAGAAGGATGGACCAATTGACTAAATCTGTCAGGCTGTTAAAGACGTCATAAAAATGTAAACACTCTTCTAGGTTAGTAATGACGATTTTAAATTATAGTTCAGGCAAATATAATGATAATAGAGAACTTTATTAACGAACAAAATACTTTTTTTAGTAGAAAATTAAGTATATAAAAAATACCATAGAAAAATAACTCAAACAATTTTGACAAACAACACTTGATAATAGTTGCAGCCATAGACAAAAGGTTTCTTATCTAAGGATGTAGCGATGTTTTGACAACTGACAATGACAGAAGTATTTCATGATATCATAAAATACATTGATATTGCTTCTTATAGAAATGGCGCACCCTTCTCTTTAGTCTACTATTTTTAATAGACAATGGCAAGATATTTCCTATTAGGAATTCCAACGATCTGTCAAAATAATGCCCGGGGGTAATGACATGTTATGATATGGCAACCCATATGGGTCTGTTATCTTCGACAGGATCAATGATATGTAATACATATATAGTTATATAGATTGCCCAAAGCGCTTCGTTTTGCAAGCGACCATATTGTCTTGTAAGTGCTCATTAGTTAGAATCGGTTTAGCAAAAATATGTTTTAAAACTAATTTTCAGCCTTTGAATATAGTAAAAAAATAATTACCTAAATTTTTACCTCAAGGCATAAGCTTATGTTCATTTTGAAAAACATGGGTGATCAATCTACAGTGAGCATCTTAAGTCTTACCCCCCCCCCCCCCTAACTAACTCGTTACTGGGGTCTTGTTAGGAAAATCGCCGAGACAGGTCGATTTTTAATTTCTACAATGTACATTTTTGCATGATTAGTTAACGCTTAATTTCATCCCTTACTGGAGGGTAAAAACCCTTTCGAAAAATTTAAATGGCATGGGGTGGTGAAAAGGGGTGGTGAAAGGGGGTTTTATCCTCTATTCAACCGTGCCAAAAAAAATTTGAAATTTGCATCATTACATGTTGATTTATTAATGTTTAAAAATAACAAAACCTCACAAAATAGGAAAGCAACTAGACTAACAGTGACCTTCTAATGGCAAAAAGTCTTACTTCACGTCTGAACCAAAACCGAAGTCATGCAGGGCCGAATTTTAATTCTAAGGATGAGTGCACTACGTTAATTTCCGTTATTCTGAAACAACAATTAGTCGAGAATTAATGAACAAATTTCAAATTTTTTTACACTGTTGAATAGAGAATAAAACCCTCTTTCAAATGAGCTATCACTCACCACCCCATGCCATTTAAATTTTTCGAAAGGGTTGCTCCCCTCCAGTAAGGGATGAAATTAAGGGTAAACTATTCATACAAAAATGTACATTGTAGAAATCAAAAATCGACCTGTCTCGGCGATTTTCCTAACAAGACTCCAGTAACGAGTTAGATAGGGGGGGTAAGACTTATGGTGCTCACTGTATATAACTATCTATATCATTAAACCTGTGAAGACACCAGGCCTACAGGGTTGCCATATCATACCCTATAGAATAATTGGAACCATCTTAGTAACCTCTGTCTACTCCAGTGTTGCCAATTTTAATAGAAATTTTCAGGCAAGCGTAAAAAAATTATAATGTTGCCCAATATAAAATTGTAAAATTTCCACGTTTGTTTTTAAAATGAGTTTGTAAATTTAAAAAAATATGCATTTTATTCTTTAAAAAACTAGAAAATGACAAGATCATAACTAGAATAAACTTTTAAATAAAAAAAAATACTGTTTGATAAAAAAATAGTAAAATAAAAATAATACAAAAATCAGTTAAAAAAATTATCAAAAATTAAAATATTAATTTTTAAGACGATATACATATATGCCAGAATTGTCAAGTGATCCCGGAACCAAATAATAACACTGAAAATCACACAAGATCAACCAAAATCAACATGAATAAGCGACTGTACAAAAAATTTCAAAATTTTCTTTTTTCTCATTTTTGTAGTAAAAATACCCATAATATGGGAAATTTCTCACAAGTTGGCAACACTGATCTACTCTTGATGTATACACGTTTCCTATGATGCACACTGTATATATAGTACGCTTTCAAATATAAACACTATTGTGTCTCCAATCTAACTATGTAAATCCGATTTTTTTTTGTTTTTTCAACATATTAATGCTTGCGACAGCGTATTAGTGAAATTTCAATTTTAAATATGTCAAAATTTTTAAATAATTTAAAAATTTTGATAAAAAAAATCAATATTTTTAAGAAAAGAGTCAAAATTTTGAGACCATAATGTCAACATTCTGAGAAAAGTCAAAAAATTGACAAAAAAGATACTGTTCGTTATTTTTTTTTTCAATTTTTCCATTTTTTTTTAAATTTTGAATTAATTTTCTAACAATTCTGACTTTTTTTGAAATATTTTTTACATGCGATTGATACACCGTCGCAAACAATTTAATAAAATAAAAAATACCACCAACAAATCTTTATTAAACCAATAGTTACAAACATGCAAAGAAATTAAAAGAAAAATAAAAAACAGCTCAGGCTCGACCTTATATTTCGAAACCATTGAGAAACCTAAAAAAATTATTTAAAAAAACTGTAGAAACACCAAAACATGCTGCAGTTAACTGTTAGTGAGCTTTTAAGCTTTAAATGCTTGGGCAGCGTGTAATTATAATTAGTAAAAGCAGATTTATTTGTGAAGTATAACATTTGACAGTTAACGTATGACAATTCACAACTGAAGTTTGACATTTGACGATTAAAGCGTGACATTAAGGTCCATATTAAAGCTTTATAAGCTTACTACAACAAACTTGGTTACAGTATTGTAGTTACTCTGGTGACGTCACACTTACCGTGGTAATGTATTATTTAATGTCAAATTTAATTTAAGTTTGAGGATTTCTAAACGAAATTTGAATTTTAAGAGATTTTAGGATGCTTTGATTTTGTTACTTTTTATTATAGTATGTTCTAGTAAGCTTTATAAAGAAATGCCTCGTTAGATGTAGTTATATGCTTTCGTAACATATGACGTCATCGGAGTAACCAAATCCTATAAAAAAATGCTCTGGTAATATAAGTAGGTATATTCTAGTAAGTTATGGTAAGTTTCTAACAGAATGCCTCTATAAAGCGAACTCAAGTGAGTCTGACAAATGAAATAAATGTCTATCAATAGGATTGAAATGCGACTCTATGGGCGCAGCCATTTTATTTTTAATTTAACTCGGGAGTACTTAAAATAACCATTTTTTGTTTACTCTAAACATTCCTGAACCGGATTGTGGACTAAGAAACATTTGTGTTAAAGAAAACATGGTTATTATTAATAAAATAAAAATGAGTGCAAAGAATCGCACCCTAGTCCCATTTATGCATTGGTATTCTATCATACTACACATTATTGAGTCTAACTCTAAATAGAGTTATGTATACTTGAGCAACGTGCCATAGAAGTATTAATAAACATTCTTTTAAATAAAAGAAATTTCTTATTTGTAATTGAAAAGCATCTTGACATCAAATCAGTAGAAGTTACAAAGTTTAAGGAGTCATCTTTTGTGACATTCGTTCAACTGTCAATTGTCATGAAACATAGACCTTAACTAACTAGACTTAAACACACTAGAGATTACAAGCTAATTTGATTGTCTCAACAAGTTCCAGATGATTTCAGTGTTGTAGTAAAATTTAGAGATGGACAATAGCAAATCACTTGAATTCTGTTTATAAATACGGACCTTAATGATTTCTGAAATAAATGTGTATACTTCACGTGCCTAAATCAATTGTAACTTAAAATACCCGAAACATGGACAGGTTAGTAAAGCGTTATTATATATAATTAGCGCAAACGATAGCATTTTAGACACGTACCTTTCTAGTTTGTCCACGCATGCGTCCTGATAGTCGTGAATCCATTTGACGGCGTTGAAATGGCACACCTGCCTCATATCTTCCGGTAGGTCGTCGGGTTCCGGAAAATTGAAGTTGTCGATGATCGGAATTATGTTACAATTAGCCGACAGAGCTGCGCATATTTCCTGTAATAGAAACGGACGCCATAAAAATAAGTATTTAATTGTATAGACGCAGGCGCAGATACAAGGGGGTAATATGCTAAATTACTATAGATATAGTTATGGTTTCATTGTGAATTACACTCTAGTAATTCGCTGCTATACCAATCAAGAAACTAGAGGCTAGCAATGTAATTTTAATCTATTAAAAATCTATTAAAAATCTACTAAAAATCTATTAAAAATCTATTAAAAATCTATTAAAAATCTATTAAAAATCTATTAAAAATCTATTAAAAATCTATTAAAAATCTATTAAAAATCTATTAAAAATCTATTAAAAATCTATTAAAAATCTATTAAAAATCTATTAAAAATCTATTAAAAATCTATTAAAAATCTATTAAAAATCTATTAAAAATCTATTAAAAATCTATTAAAAATCTAATCTATTAAAAATCTATTAAAAATCTATTAAAAATCTATTAAAAAATCTATTAAAAATCTATCGATTATTTAGCACACCTTAACTGTAACCCCATATAGATCTAATGTATGTGAATGGAACTTAGTGAAAACGCTACTCACCCTATGAACCCAGTCTTTCCTTTCGTGGTCTCCCACGCACCGCTCCAAGGCGTTGGGCGTCAAAACGAGCAAAAAGTGCTTGGCCTTCTGGATGCTCTGCAGTAAGTTGTTGTCGAACTTCCCGGCCTCCAATCGCTCCACGTCGATGAATACGCTGAAGCCGCGCAACTGCAGGTGGACCTTGAGCAAGCTGGCCAACTGCGAGCCGTTGGACCTTCTGTAGCTAACGAAGACGTCCAGAGATTTATCCATGTTGTCCTCGCTCATGCCGTTGGCAAAACCGTTCTCCAATTGGCGAATGCCTTCCATAATTCGATACCGATGGATGGAATTCTTGATGCCGCACTCTTCCAGGAGCTGGTCCTCGGATATGTTTCGAAGGTAGTCTTTTTTCTCTACTCCGGCGTTTAAGAAGCTGTAGGTGTATATGGAGAATTCCGGACCGAGGGATTGGAGGAAGGTGTTGATGTTGGCCGTGTCTTTGGAGGTGTAGTCGGCCATCTTTTTCAGTTGTTGGAGTTCTCGCGTGAACCTTTTCCGTTTGATTCCATTCCTCAAACCGATATCGTCTCTGAGATTTTCTTCGGTGAGTTGGAGTAGCAGATCCCCGTCCACTCGACTATCCACGAAACTGCTGGCTATATCCGGAAAACCGATTTGTTTCACCCATTCCTCTACGTCTTCAGCCGACCACAACGGTACTTGCTGGCTTAATTTGTGCGGTACCTCTTCGCCGATCAATCTCAACGCTTGAGCGGCGTACTTTGATGCGACGGCGTTCGGGCAGCTCGCCACCTTTTTGAGGGACTCCACTGCCCCGATTTCCGTGAACATGCTGGTGTTTCCTTGCTGCTTCTTGATGCCTGCTTCCATGCAGAAATGGAAAGCGGCCAGGTTTCTAGCTTCTTCTCGTTTCGAGCTTAGCACGGGTACCAGGTTCTTCAACCAGGTTTTGCTTTGGCCGTGAGCGTGCGCTAAATTCGATTTGGCGAATTCGGAGGGGTTGTGCGTGGTGACGAAAGGTTCGACGAGGCCTAGAGTACCGGATTGTAGTACTTGTGCTTCGATTTCGGGGTTCGCTACCAGTACTGTTATGGCGAGACAGGCGTAGTATTTAATGTTGTCGTCGTTGTGGAACGCTAACGGGAATAACCACATCGGTACCTTCCTTTTGATCATGGCTTCTTGGTTTTCGGCGCCGCCGTACAAGCTGAGATTGGCTAGAGCTCCAGCGCAGTGCCTTAAAGTTTCTATATCGCTCTTTCTGCATTCGAATAGCAAGGCATCAAGACCGCCTAGCCTTACAACGTCTCTGCAAGTCTCTTCGCTGTGCTTGAACAAGTGCTCTAGGATGCCGGTACCCACTCTGGAGTGCTGTACTGAATTAGGTTGTTTCGTGCAGACGCAGGCTACGTTCACTACTTTATCCAATCCGTGTTCTACCACGTGGGCTCTATTTTCAGCGGTCAAACATTGTTCCAAGAGCTTAGCGCTCGAGAACTGGAGGTTCGCATTCGATTTGGTGCAGTTCTGCATGATGAGATCCAAACCACCGCTGTTTCTTAAAGCGTTGCACAGGGCGTAGCCCAATTCGTGGCCGTATGTCGGTACTGCCCAAGCTTTGCGCATTACGTCGTTGATTTTGTCCAGTACTAATGGCGCTTCTTTGCTCTGTTCTAGTTTCTGCAGACACTTTATTGATTCGTCCAGGTATGTCGAGTATTTGTGCTTCGCTCGCTCGATGTCGTGTATGTCTGATTGTGCTGTTAGACTTTCTAGGTCTTCTAGGGAGGTGTTGAGGATCGCTTCTTCCGGCGTTCCGTTCATTAGATGAAACTGCAAGGAAGAAACATAAGCGTAAGTGCTAATTCTTTAAAAAAATACATTTATCCTTTTATAGAAATTATTTATCTAGAATAATTCAACATAAAATATAATACACAAGCGAGGCTTGTGTTGGCTTGCCCGTTCAGACCTATAACGATATCTTCGGCTATTATATGTTGCATTGTTTGAATGTTTCTAAATATAGCAGCTCTCATTCCTTATCTATCCTATCTATGTATTATTAAGGGTTTTTGGTTGTTATGAAACAGTAATTGAGACTTGTTAGTAGGTTTTGTCTAAGTTTAATTGTGGTTATCATCGTGGTTCAGTGTATAGTCTACGGTTATTGACACAGTTCACATAAACAAGTGAACGCTGTATCATATGTCCAAGCAGCAATCGAGAATGTAGAGAGTGCTCGATTGGTGCCACGACGGGCCGCTCACCGCTCAGTCGTCCGTCGGACTAGAACTCGTATAAGTATCTGGTCGTTGTACGAAGTTGCTAGGTCTACTGAATTTTTAGTAGATCCACTGATGTGACATTTAATCCACTGATATTCTACTGAAAATCCATTATTTGCCATTTGCCGTGATATTTTCATGATATATATAAGTTAATGTAAAATAAAAGTGCTGATAATGAGTAGTTTTTTATAATCAATAATATTTATGCATGTATAGGTGTTAATAACAAATTATTCTAGGTTATATTGATTTTTCAGTTAATAATTTACTTTTTTAATATTTCTTGTTTGGTGATTGCAGTCTTTGTTAAAAAAAAGATTTTAATAGAAGTACATATATATATATATATAATTGGTATTTAATTTTTTATTAAAAATTAACAGTGTAAATAAATAAAATTTAATATCTGTTCATTTGTACAAGAACCGCATCAACTTTACAAAAGTGTTTGCCTCTGATATTATGCAAGCAATATGTCTACCGATTTCTACTGATTTTGTTTCTTAGTTTACCTAAAATGATGTCCGTGTGAATTGTTAATCTGCGTCAATATGTTTGTTGCTGTATTGGAGTATGTTATTATCTATATTTGTTTACTTTTTGATGTTAAATCTGTCTATATTTACCATAAAATGTATTGAAAGCCGTAAGGTATTGTTCTGTATTCGGCATAATTTTAGTTGTACGTTTAAGTCTTTAATGACTCGGGTGAGTTCTGCTATATTTACCAGTGGTTTAATATGCTAATTCTTGAAATATTAAAATTAAACATTTGCGGACGGAAGACTGAACACCGAATATAGATTTTTAAAGTTTGACAAGTGACTTTTAGTTTATATATAAATGTAAATAAATAATTTTATAGTTACCTGTCTGTGCGCCGTCAACATGGACGCCGCCGAACCTTTTACGGAGGATGTGTAAATTGTGCTTGTGCTAGAACTTTGCTTCTCCTGATTGTAAAACCCGCTAGCCGTCACCGTCTGTCTTTGTTGCTGCGATTCCATCGCTGTTCGTTCGCTGCTGAATTGGTCTGTGGTCAATTTCATGTTGGTTTGCGCCATACTCTTGGATTCTTGTTGACTCAATTCACCCGCTTTGAGCGATCTAGCTTCCTGTAACAAAATTAGACCGTTAATACTTTTATTGAGCGCGATATACTATAATGAGTAGAAGGCTGTAGGTTAATAGGTCATCATGATGTAAATAACATGTGAGGATATACATAATAGATCTATTCCAACCTCAGCATAAAGGAGGACCAGCAGGCGTTCTCGATAAGAAATCCTCATCGATCATTTTGGTAGATGATAAGTTTGTTTCATTAAATAACTTTTGTACCGTCCTCTAAATGATCATAAAACAATATGTAGCAATTTATTGCTCGGCGCTTATTTCATATCATTTGTTGTGGGAAACTTTACAACACAAAAAAATATGTTTTCAAAATACCTAACATCTTGAAATAAACAATAAGGTGATTTTTTTTTAATTCAAATGTTGAAATTTAATTTTAAAACATATTTGGGCCAAAACGGTCCTGTTCAGTAAGTATTTGGAAGGGCAATAAACCGGGACACTCCACTTCATTCAGTGTCAACTGTCAAATACGTATAGCGCTCGTTGACATTTGACATAGAAACATTAACGCACATTAGCGCCTTTTGACGGTTGACAAAAATTGACGTTGACAGATGTCACGAAACTTGTAGGCGATATTCTATTTGCATTATTTCGATTATATTTCAGCTATTAAGAATTTTGTTAATACGAAAGTTGAAACAAACAAAATTATATTTACATTGTTATCGTGTATGAGTTGAAAACTCAATTTCGGCGGTACGTGGACTCTCACTTTAGCAACACTAACGATTTTGTTCTTCAGCGCACCCTCTTTGACCGGCCACGGCGCTGACATGATTCGGCACAGCTCGATTTTAGTTTCGCTAACCGCACTAGTTTCAATCCGACATTAAATGTTACTTTTTATGAATTTTTTCGTTCGCATCTGACCTGTATCACCGCGACCGTTGTTTAACACTGAAATTTGTATAAAAATAAAAGTGATCTGTTGATTTGGATGCGAGCCATGGCTAAATGACTTCGAAAAGTATACACATCGGGCGTCAGAAGTTAGAATGCGCGCCGTATATTTCGGTGAACTTTTATTAACTCTCGAGCACACAACAGCGAGATTTATTTGTCAATGTCAACATTGAGCAATTTTGGTCGATTTATATTGTAGGGAAATTCAAACATTTACACATTTACTGTGACGTGATTTATTTCGGATAAGGGACGCACTGGCCTACAAAGTTTTGGGGCTTAAAATATTTTATTTGATATATAAAATGTTACGGTTAAATATACGTTTAAAATTGAAATAAATGTAAAGTTTTCAGATGTTATCAAAGCCGATAAGACATATTACATGCCTATGATTTTTAATACCTTCCAATAAGACACACTCGGGCCCTTGTACCCATTTTATACTTTATACAGGGTGTTCTTTCGATAAGACGCTCTTGGATCCTTATACCCATTTTATAACTTTCACATATCGTATTTAATACCAGGTGCTCTTCTTATAAGGCACTCTCTGGTTCTTGTACCCACTTCATAAAGCTTTTTCACATTCTATGGGGTGATCTTCTAAACAGACCCATCGCTGCTGATTCTAGACCACTTCTTAGATTCATTTTATAAAAAAGATCACATTTTATATAGGATGATCCTCTGTACAGCCCCGTCGTTGCTAATATGAGACCCTTCATACCTATTTTATATACCGGGTGTTATTCGCATAAGACAATCTCGGATTCTTATACCCACTTTATAAATCTTTTTCATACTCTACAGGGTGATCCTCTGTACAGCCCCGTCGCTGCTGATACGAGACACCTCCTTATTCCGAAAACCGCTTCTGTGCTCACATACAAAGATAGTGCGTCGCTTACAGATGCATTCGTGCTTCTCACTTACATACTTACTCATTTACTCAATTACATACTTGTCGTACAACTACATATTTTTTTATTCGTTCTCGTTCTTCAAAACATACTTATTACTCAATTACATACTAGTTAGTCAATTACATATTCGTTTACTCAACTCACTTACTCAAACATACTCATTTACTAATTTACAGACTCGTTTCTCAAACACTTTTTATTCAAACACACTCGTTTATTTTATTACATACTCAATACTCAGTTACATACTCGCTTCTCTGCTCTCTACTCTAAACACATTAGTATATTTACATATACTAATTACTCACTCATTTACTCTATTAAATACTCTTTTGTTCAATTCTACACTTTACTAGTTTACTAATATATTTAATAAATATTTATTCAAATATTAATTCGCTAATTTATGCAATACATATTTGTTCATTTTACTCTTTCATTTGTTCACATACTCATTAAGTTACGATCTCACACAATTACGTGTCTACTCGTTTAATAATTTGCTCATTTCCCACATGAATACTCACTGAATGCCAGCTCACGTGCTCATTCACTTATACACTTACTTTCTTATCTACTTAATCATTTATTTATTTATTTACATATTTGTTTATTTATTCACATGCTCATATACATATACTCATTATAATTTCTTAAATTTTATAAAAGGTAATCTTCTCATAAGACACTCTTGGGTCAATATTATACCCATATTACATTTTTTTATATTTTATACTTTTTGTACATCCAGTATATTTAAAAATAATTTTAATTTCAGATCAATTGCCACATTTTTAATTATTATAGAGAAAAAAGTCAAAAATGTCAAAATATGCAACGTTTGTTTGGATGAAATATGAAATCCAAATAAATTCACTTCATCGCCTGCACTTTTTTAAAAAATCAATGTTTATCACCTACTATCAGATAATTTTCTATTTGAGTACCGTTTTGTAGAAATACAAAAAAAAATCAACAAGAAATGTCTCACTGGGAAAACCATCTACAATTGCGCAATAATTACCTTTGCAAAAGCGGTCGAATTCCCATCGGAGCCACGTATCTGTCTCGCCAATGGATTCATTTGGCGACACCAATGATAATAATTATTGAACAACACCGATGACGATTGATTAGAAGGTAATTTGTTCAATTGAAAAATGATCGCGATCGCTGGTCGTGGTCGCATGGCGCAATTGCCCTGCCGAGGCCAACTGAGGAGGGTGGAAGGCCGCCAGAGTTCGTGGAAAATGGAAAATTTCGTCTACGGTTCGTCGCGCGTGCTTTGTATCGATCCTAGCGTTCTTAGAATGTTTATTATATTTAATTTATTTACGTTAAAACAATCAATAACAGTTTTCTAGGAAAATCTTAATTTTTTTCTATTAATTAGGCATGTAGAACTTAGGCAAGAAGAAGAAGAAGAAGTTAGATTATATGTATATACTGTCTTTGAAAAAAATTCCCATTAAAAGTAATCCATTGGATTTAAATCTGGAGACCGTAGAGGCCATTCTCTTTATCTGTAAATTCTCAACCATATTCTTGGTAACCAATTATTTAAAAATTTGCGAACTCTTAAAAGAAGTAAAGTCTCGGAAATACCTCATTGGAAAAAATACAAGCAATTAGATGTTTTTGATCTAGAACTAATTCACTAGTTTTCACGGTTTCACGCCCCAGATGAATGTTGTTAATTTATTGTTTTTTTAGGTAGAATTATTCGTTGAAATCCACCCTAATATTAGACGATTTCGCCGATATTCCCATTTTATTCAACCTCTGTATATCGGCTGAATCGTTTAATAATATTTCTAAAAAGTTACCACAGGAATAACTGACTAACTGCATCTAAAGCAAACTTGAACTGGGTTTTTATTGGGACTAATCATAATAATGAGTACTTGGATGAATAGAGGATCGAAAGAGATGGTAAAAATGCACTCCCCTTCCCTCAACAACCCCTAACATTGAATAACATTTGATAAATAGTTACCACAGGGATAATTTGGAAAATCGCTAATCCTGAAGGTCCTAATCAGGATAATGGGACAAACTATTTCAATTATTGCCTTAACATCGGTCCTTGATAAGTTTCAAATCAATCCGACGTTTTGAAGGGGCTGAAAATCACGTTTAAAGATTCCGTTACATACATATATACCAAGCTTATATAAGTGTCTTAAAAATAAGGCTATACTTTGCTCTTGAGTGCATTTTTAATTTCTCTCGTTAAAGCATTTATTTAATATTTAAGTAATTAATATTCGATTTTAAACAAAGTATCAATTTTTATTAGGAATTATGTAGGTATAATAATATAGTTTTCTTTAAATTATAGATATTTTTAAAATATGACAACACGGCATCGAAACTTTCGCTACATTTTCTCTTCCGACAAATATAACTCTAAAATTCAATACGGACGCAATAAAATTATCAATTTAATATCAAATCGTAATCCTTGAGAAATTTAAAAAATACACAAAAGTGTTTATTAAAATTTGGGTGTTCAAATTAAAGTGTTACAGTTAAATATCGCCGGAAATATGCATTTTATAAAAAAAAGTTTTAGACAAAAGTTTTATAGTTTTTTGGGGGAAATATTTTGGCAACATTAATTTTTTTATAGCTGACCATAATATGGCCATATCGAGGTGGACTTTTTTTTCAACTTGGAACTCCATTTTTTTACATATATTCTTAAAGTTCATAAAACATAAGAGACTTTTAAAGGAAACATTTTTTTTTATTGGACTTTTACTTATTGAGTAACACCTACTTGAAAATTTTGCTGCACGAAAAAAAAGTAGACCATATTATGGTGGTGTCGGGACATTTGCCCAGTTTTTTTCAGGTACATTTTGATCCGGCAACGTTGCACTTGAGGTGGGATGGTACTAAACCACCCCAAAGCATCGGAGAGATGCGCACGCATAGTCGTACGATAGATAGGATCCAGAGATATATAGGATCACGTCATCAGTAGTATAGACAAAGGAAATTTTAGAAGTAGGGGATAAGAAAACAATAATTTATTTAGATATGACAATAAAAAAACTGTAAATACAAGTGAATAAAAATAAATAAAATTACCTTTAAAAAAATAAAGAAATAAACCGTATCTTCGAATAGACGAAGTG